ACAGCAACCCAGCCCCCAGCTCAAAAAGGTTGCCTACCCCTGCTCCAAGCAATGGTAGATTGTTCAAACGACAGAACTAACCAGTTTTATTACAATAACATCAAAAATCCACCAAACAGCAATATCTTTATTGGACCAACCAAAATGCCCAATATACATATTGCAAGCTTTCGAAGTTCTGCTGGTTTCTTCACCAAGCAAAGGTGTGGAAAAAACAACAACCATACAGCCGAAAAAAGCTGAAGATGTTAGTCACAGGCATGCATTTTGCAACCAAGTATATCTGAAGGCACCTTGAAAAACTAAGGCACAAACCACATCAGCTAAGATTTCAGAGACTAGACTGTCATCAGAGGCATGAAATGTTACCTCCATTGGCATATATATATATATATATATATATATATATATATATATATATATACACACACACACACACACACACACACACACACACACCATAGGTACAGGAGGTGCAGGAGATTGTAAATACCGTATTTTCCGGCGTATAAGATGACCCACATATAAGACGACCCCCCCATTTTCCCAGTCAAAATATAGAGCTTTAGCACCTCTATCCTCATTATCCTTATATCCGGCATATAAGACGACCCCCCCACTTTAGCCACAGATTTTGCAGGTAAAAAAGTAGTCTTATACGCAGGAAAATAAGGTAAGCATATTTCCCAGAAATATGCAGGTCAAAGGAGGACAGCAATTAAACAGGGTTACAGAGAACTGGGCCTTGCTCTCCATTGCGTGCCAAATAAAAAGCTTTAACAGCCACATAAAGTCGCCTGTATCATTTCCCTCATTTAAGTGCTGTTCCACAACAAAATTTTGTTTGCTTGTGGCCATGTGCCACCTCCAGAGATGGAGCCGCAAAGGGACACAGCGATGACTGTGTCTCTTCCAATTTCTTTCACCCTCGAGGGACAAGGGCAAGATCTGTCGCTTCACCCGTGATCCAAATGGCAGAGAGAAAGGGCACCTGGTTGAAAAGAAAGCATTGCAGCCTTCTTTCTCCCTGAACGATGCCCACTGGGTCCACACCTTTGGTGCTAAAGCATTGCAAATGATTGAGTTACACATCTATCGTTCGTTCCTTTCCATAGTAACTCAAGTATAAATAGATTGCTGTATAACTGTAACACAGCAGGGAATAACTTCCTCCTTTTCGTGATGCACACTGCAGAATTAATGCAGTTTGACATCGCTTTAATGGTCATTGCTCCATTCTATGGAATCCTTGGATTTGCAGTTTTGTGAGGCACTGCCCCTCTTTGGCAGACAAGGCTCGAGACCTTGCCAAACTGGAAATCCCAGGATCTCATAGGATGGAGCCATGGCAGTTAAAGCAGCATCAAACTGCATTATTTCTACAGTGTAGATGTGTCCATAGTCAGCTCCTTCTTTTTACATTATAGGGAAGGGTGGTTTTGATAAACTGCGGAGGTGGAACATTACACGGTTCAAATGCTGGCTCATGATGAATCTTTCGTGCTTGTACCAAAGTGACTACAAAATAGATCAGAAGGAAATATATTTAATACCATGGGATCTCCAGCCAAAAAAGATAAGGAAATCAACTATTTTAGTTACTCTGGTGCCACAGCAAACTATAAACCCCCCAGATCCCTTAGGATGGAGCCGTGGCAGCTAAAGCGGCGTCAAACTGCATTATTTCTGCAGTGCAGATGCAGCCTTAGTAACTGGGCAAGGTGAGGCATTGGAGCTGGAGCTGCAATTGCTTTTTTTAAAAGCATTTTACTGTACAAACTTTGCAAGCCATGGGTTGGGTTCCTGTGCCAACTGTAGCCACCGTTGCTAGTGTGGCACCAAATTGCATGTATGTCCCCTTCCCACCCCACCCTATAGACACCATCTACACGCCCCACAGATGTCCTCTGGCCTGTCCTCCAAGGCAGGAAAAGCAAATACAGTCAAGAGAGGGAGGGACAGGCAGGAACCTGGCAGACAGGCAGCCTTGGCCGTAGTCCAAGCCGGAGCAAGCTTTCCCAGTCATTTCTACCAGCTTTCAAGGTCAGGTAGCAAAAGCAGCTCCAGAGAGGAAAAACACACAACAGCAGCCATTTGGAAAGTAGATATGTGTGTCTATGTATGCAGTCTAGTGCTTTGAGTGTCAGACTATGACTCTGGAGAGCAGGGTTCGAATCCCAGCTTAGCCATGGAAACCCACTGGGTGATCAGGGGCAAGTCACACACTCTCAGCCTCAGAGGAAAGCAATGGTCAACCCCCTCTGAATAAACCTGCCAAGAAAACCCCACAATAGGCTCACCTTAGGGACTCCACTGTCCAGAACACACTGCAGAAATACTCCAGTTTGAGACCACTTTAACTGCCCTGGCTCAATGCTAGGGAATTTGGGGAACTGTAGCTTTGTGAGACATTTAGCCTTCTCTATCAGAGAACTCTGGTGCCAAAAATAAACCACAGTTCCCAGGATTCCCTAGCACTCAGCCAGGGCAGTCTCAAACCGGGTTATTTCTACAGTGGACCCATAAGTCAGAAACGACTTGAAGGCACACAAGAGCAACAGACAAAAGCGTGTCCAGATTTGGAAATCAGGGGAATCTGTCTGTTTTACAGAACTATCCAAGTCGTGCCTCCCTCGAGGGGTGTCCCTGTTTCCTTCCAGGTCCAGCAAAAGCACCCCATGAATGCATCCCTCTCCCTGCTCCTATACCCCTCCAGCCCACCCCAAACTTGATCCAGCAACCGGCCCCTTCAGGATGGAAAGGGAGGCCTCCGACCGACCGACCCAAAGGGAGGTCATTTCCTTTCCCAGGGAGGGACAGGAAGCCGATCCCGGTGGCCGGCAGCAACACAACCAACCAACACCCCTACCCTCTGCAACAAACAACCGATGCAGACCCCCAGCCAACTCTCGCTGGGTTTGCTCAGCCCTTGTCCCCCTGCTATTGCTGCCTCTGCTGCATTTCTGCACTCAGCTTCTGCACTAAAGGCAGCCTTTGGGTGGGAGTCTTGCCTGGAGAGCTCTCAGCAAGAGCAGCCAAGGCACCACTAGCATTTTGGACTTTTATCCAAATGCAACCACTGCTGAACATTTAGGGTGGAATCGGGGAGGGGGGGTTACCAAAAGAGGGAGGCACAGGGGTGCTACTGTCGCTGGTGCCAGCAAATGGGGTCCCATGTTGCAAACTGGATGGCAGGCCAAAGCCACCCCACCAGCAGTTCAAAAAGGATGTTGACAAGCTGGAGCGTGTTCAGAGGAAGGCAACCATAATGGTGAAGGGTTTGGAAACTATAATGCCCTATGAGGAGGGACTTAGAGAGCTGGGTATGTTTGCTCTGGAGAAGAGATGGTTAAGAGGTGATGTGATGATCACCCTGTTTCAGTATTTGAAGGGATGTCATATTAAGGAGGGAGCAAGCTTGTTTTCTGCTGCTCCAGAGAAGAGGACCCAGAGCAATGGGTGGAAGCTCCAGGAAAAGAGATTCTACCCAAAATTTAGGAGGAACTTCCTGACAGTAAGGTCTGTTTGACAGTAGAAGATGTTGCTGCCTTGGAGAGAGTGGTGGAGTCCCCTTCTTTGGAGGTCTTTAAAGAGAGACTGGATGGCTGTCCATCAGGGGTGCTTTGATTCTGTGTTCCTGCATGGCAGAATGGGGTTGGACTAGATGACCCTTGCGGTCTCTTCCAACTCTATGATTCTATGCTTGCTCCCCAATGGCATCCCAAAACCCTTTGCTACCTGCAGCTGCGCCTAATGCACCTGGGATTCTTTGGCCCTGCAGAAATCCAAAGTATTCCAGGTGAGGTCTGACCAAATAGAGAGCCACTATTACTTCCCTCGATTTAGACACTATGTTCCTATAGATGCAACCTAAAAACATTGTCTTTGTATGCTGCTGCATACAAACAAACTACAAATCCCAGGACTCCATAGCACTGAGCCACGGCACTTAAAGCAGTGTCAAACTGCATTATTTCTGCAGTGCAGATGCAGCCCTAGTCCATCATTCAAACCACTACACCACCTTGGCTCTCTGATGCCATCAATACTTCTGTATTAATCTGTGTTGTAAATATGCCGATGGTCCCATATTGGGGAACAAAAATTAATTAAACAAATTAAAAGCAGGCTGAGTATTGTTGTTGTTGTTTTAAGTGAGGGAAGAAATCACTGAGAGCACTAGCCCTAAGATGAGTTAGGCAGAATGAAGCAGCCGCCTCAAGCAACATAGTTTGGGGTGCCATGAAAAAGCATAAAATGTTGACCCATTTTTTAAAATTGAACTTTTCTTGCCAGGGCGAGGGAAGAGATACTCATGAGATTTTTCTCCCCGGCTGCCAAAATAACCTGTCCAGCTTGAGATATTTGATTGGGTCTTTCTGTATGTTTCTGTGGCACCAGAA